TTTCGGGGTCCAGCAGGGGCGCAGGAGAGCTGCGGCAGGGGGGAGCCCGAGGCCCAGCGGGGTGGGGAACAGGGGACCGGGAGAGCTGGGGTGGGCGGGAGGCCACGGGGCCTGCTGAGTTGGAGGCTGTGAGGGAGCCAGGGCTCGGTAGGTTGAGGGCTGGGAAAGCCAAGGAGAACTGCAGTTGGAGGTGAGAGGCTGTGGGGATCAGTGGGTTGGGTGTCTGGAAGAGTTGGCAGGGGGGAGGCCCTTGTGCCTGGTGGGTTGGGGGATGGCAGTGGGCCAGGAGAGTTGGGGGGGAGGGCAGACCCTGGAGCTCAGCAGGTTGGGGGTCTGGTGGGGGGCAGACACCAGGGCGCGGTGGGTTGTAGAGCTGGAAGAGGGCAGAGCCTGGTGCCTAGCCTGTCGTGGGGCAGGGGGAGGGCCTAATTTATCGGAGATTGTCAGAGTTTGAGATGGGCCTGGCAGACAGGAGCCTGGGGGACCCCATTCTGGGTGCCTCTGTCCCTCTTCACATGCTCACTTGGTTCTTTGTCCCCCAGCCCTGCCAGGCAGCTCCCGGCAGCACCATGTCATCAGATTCCAGCAAGAAGAGGAAGCCCAAAGTTATCCGCACCGATGGGGGCCCACAGGAGGGCAAGCGGGGCAAGGCCGACGCTGACCAGGTGGGGTGCCCCGCAGCCTCTCCTGGCGCCCCATGCGGGGAGGAGCTGCCTGCTTTCGCAAGGTGCTCCTGTCCTGCTGCATTATGAGAAGCTGATACCAAAACTTCCTTTTATTGGCCTCATTCCCCCACTCAGGCAGCTTGAGTGGGGTCAGAACCAGCCAAATCTGAACACCTGCAAGACTCCCACTCTCAGTTTCTGAGCGGGTTTTCTCCTCCTGGAGGAAACGCAATTCCCATGGAGTCAAATGTTGCCTTTTGGGACATAACAGGCAAGTCTGAGGCTGTCAGGTGTTTCAGGGATTTGCAGGTTGCCTTAAAACACTCCCACAAAGATCAGAATAACTTAGTTTTAGTCAAAGTGGAATTTAAGGTTGAAGAAGTAGGTGTGCAGCCTTGATAACAATCTGCGCTGGTGCAGGACAGATACTGGTCTTAATTTACAGTGATGATATAAGAGGCCTAAACTTTCCAGGCATTTGTGCCCCGGGTGGTTAAACGAGTCACTCTCCGCTGCGCAAGCCCCCTCGAGTGTGGGATGACTGGGCTGAGGCAGTGCTCAAGATCTGGTGGTTTATGTCCAGGGCACTTTAGGAGGTGTTTTTACCCCTTGCAGGATGCTCGGTACTACAGTGAGGAGGGTGAGGTGGATCTGCGTGACCCCATCAAAGACTACGAGCTCTACAAAGAGACCTGCCAGGAGCTGCAGAGACTCATGGCAGAAATCCAGGAGCTGAAGAGCAGAGGCATTAAGGACAACGTAAGGAGGAGCTGCAGTGCTTTTTCTGCATGTGCTTTCCTGTGATGTTTCTTCCTGACCCAAGAGGAGCAGGAGCCACACGGCATTCTGGGGAGAATTAGGAAAATGGGACAGTCTCTGTTAAATAAAGTAAGCTGTAGCTGAGGGGTTTGGTCTTTGACCGAGCACCCATTGCCCAGGCCGAGGTTCCTCTCTTCGAGGCACATCACAGCCCTGCTACAAGGGATGTCCCGATGCGCGCGGCAAAGTGGCCGCATGCACTGCTCTTGTCTTCCGCTTCCAACACCCCTCTCCTGCCATTCAGGCTTTGGAGATAGATGAGCGGCGCATTCAGAGCTGTGTCCACTTCATGACCCTCAAGAAACTCAACCGCTTGGCTCACATCCGGCTAAAGAAGGGAAGAGATCAAACACACGAGGTAAGGAGGAGGCTGGAATGACTCTAATAAAGCTCCCTTCCTGACTCGCTCTGAGGTGCTTCCTGGTGCCGCTTGCCAAGGAGAGCAGCCTCATGGTCATGTATCACCAAGTGCGCGTGCAGCTCTGCCTCGTGCCATGAGGGTCACCAGCTGCGTTTGTCTTTCAGGCAAAGCAGAAGGTGGATGCATATCACTTGCAGCTCCAGAACCTGCTCTACGAGGTGATGCACCTGCAAAAAGAGATCACCAAGTGCCTGGAGTTCAAGTGAGCCTGACCGGGGAGGAGCGACCGGGTCCTAAAGCGGGGGAGGCTTCAAGGGATCAGGATTTCTTGTCGCATTGTCTCAGGCTGTTACTGGAGGAGAGCAGGGAAGACCTCTCCATGACAGGAGCAACCTGTTTGTATCCATTTCCCTTCTCTGCTGTGGCACATTGTGATTTTACTCGCTGCAGTTGTGGTGGTTTGCATGGCAGCGTAAAGCCAGGACCCAGGACGTTGGCACTGACCGCTCTGCTGTGAGTGCGGTTGAGTTCAGCCCTGATCCCATTTTTGCATCCCCACAGGTCGAAACACGAAGAGATTGAGCTGGTGAGCCTGGAGGAGTTCTACAGGGAGGCTCCACCTGAAATCAGCAGGCCAGCGATCACCCTGTCTGAGCCCCACCAGCAGACTCTCGCCCGCCTCGACTGGGAGCTGGAGCAGCGCAAGCGGTGGGTGGGCGCCGCACCGGCTCGGTGCCAGCCCAGCTCACCTCTGCCATACTGCAGGGCAGCGTTCCCTGCCAGCACCCCCGGAGTGAGCTCTGCAGCTCTTGTGGGAGCAAATGCGAGCATAAAGGTGTTAACACCTTCCCAAAATATTCAGAATAGAACAAGTGAGAGACTTATTGTGCAACTGAGCCCTCATCGTGGAGATTTACTCCCTGTGGAGAGTTGGATTTGGCAGCAGGCTTGATTCTGTTTGATAGATCAGTGCATTTTTGGTTGTATGCCTTTCGGAGGCTGCCAGGTGATTCCTGAGGAGCAGAACAAGCTCCAAACCAGAGTGAGACGCTCTGAGCCAGCACTGGGGCAGGACGGGAGTATGAAGGGTCGCAGCCAGCCTGTGAAAACGGCTGTTTGACCAAACACCGGAGCGCAAGGGCTGCCCCATACAGCACAGTTGTTTTGGCTGTTTAGGTCCATCCACCCGCAGACATTCACTGAAGCAGTGAACAGCAGAGGGACAAAACGGACATCACTGCTTGGCGTTTCTGGTGCGAGCAGTCCGTATCTGCTCTGAGCTCGGAGGCTCTGGCAGCAGGGAATGGGGCTGCCACCCCTCAGGACTGTGCTATTTCAGGATGGGCAGGCATGTACTTCAGTCTATCAGCCGCTTCGGCGAGATGTGACTTGCCAGGCAGAGCAATCCCCATGTGGGCCACAGTGCCGTGGCACGAGGGGCAGACTTGGCAAGCTGGCACGTGAGCCCAAGCCCAGCTTGGAGGCCTGGCCTCACACTGTTGCGGTTTGGGGCGCCTGCACTCCCGATGTTCGCCACATCGGGGAGCTGCCTGCGCAGGAGGGCCAGGTGGCTCAGCTGCTCCAGCAGCTCTTGCCCCATGTGAGCAGCAAACATGACGCAGTCTTCCTGATTTTATAGCAGCCAGCAGCTTTTTTAGGCAGCTAGGGCTGGCCTTCCGGAAAGATTGACCTAAGCCTGCAAACAGACACTGCAATTAAATGCAGCAGCCCAGTGAAATGTGCGGCAGTGGACATTGCATGGCTCTGTACAGCTCGTGATTTGTCTGTCAGAGCCTGTCCCAGGCTCCTTCATACTGAACCTGGCTCATTTTGCCTGCTGGAAGGCAGCTATTTGTGCTGCATGTTTTTAGGGTTCTCTTAGAAAATGATTATTCCTTGCAAACTCTGAAAAGGATAAAGCACAGCTGAATGGAGCTTATCCCACGGCTGTGTATTTAGTTACTGAGAGGCTTCATCAT